CAAAAAGTGATATAAATTCAAAAAATTGATACAAACTCAAAAAAAGTGACAAAAACCAAAATAGTATCATTCATTTGTGCAGTACCAGTAATCAAGTTCTTAAAATAATCAGCACGTCCAAGTCAATCCACATGCTGATTATGTTAGGAAAATATAACATATTATTTCACCTTTTTATCTTCTTAAAAAGTGACAAAAATTTAAAAAAATTGACAATTTTAAAAAGTGACACAATATCACTTTTATAAAATTGACAGCAACTTTGACATCCATAGATGTTAATGCATAAAATTAAGGAAGTGACAGTACACAATCTCACTTTTATAAAAAAAATGATTTTGTTAGTTAAAAAAGTGACCAAAAAATCAAAAAAGTAATATAAAATAGTGACAAACACTATAAAAAGTACCCGAAACTCAAAAAAAGTGACAGAACTTAAAAAAAGCAGTAGCTAGTTAGCAATCAAGAACGAGAGGCGGAAAATGGAAAANGAAACTCAAAAAAAGTGACAGAATTTAAAAAAAAAAAGTAGCTAGTTAGCAATCAAGAACAGGAGGTGAAAAATGGAAAACAAATATTTCTCCCTTTAGATCCATAACATTAATTGTGCAGAATATGAAAAATAAGTTGTGAAGTATAAGAACGTAAATATAATTCATAGCCAAAAACAACATCTAGTTGACTCAATGTGTGGAATCTTTTTAACAAGGCCATCATGTAATCAGCAAGAAAAATTACTATCACAACTTTACCTTCATCAATTCCTAAGTAAGAATATTCGGTTTTCCTAGCCTAGTTCACTACTCTTCCAACCATTTGCATCACAGTAAGGAAACTCTTTTTTGTTTCAGTTTCACAAAGAGTAGCTCGTACTCTTCCTGCTTTGACTTCCATTAGAAACAATTCTCCAAGCTTGCTTCAGAGTCTTGTGCATCCCTTCTTCAAACTCCTATTCTGCTTCTGCGTGATCTCTACGTAATTTTTCTATCTGAAATTGCTGTATCTTCCTCTAAATCCCTTCCATCTGTTGAACTTGTACCTAGGAATTCTTGATTGCTGCATTACCATGATAAATTAAGATTGATGGTTGCTCTAATACCAAAATTGGTCAGGAAACAAGCTCAAACCAACAAATGATAGAAGATATTGAATAAATAAAGGGACAATAGCAGAGATCGAAGTAAATACTAGAGATTTAGTGCTTTTATACTTAAATCTCAACAAACTAGAGTTTCTGGACTAAAGAATAAAGTTCTTCAATCAATGTTTTGTTGGAGAATAAAGTTCCACACATTGCGTCAACTGAGTGTTTATGTGTGTATATTCTATGTATCGTACAAAAATCATGGCATAATTAATACAAAAATGCATTTGGAGCAATTAATCGAACACTTGATATGCATAGTAATTGAAATGAGTAAAA